AAAAATAATTATTAATTTGTTCATAAGTTGAAAATTTAACTAGAATGTTTAAATCAAGTGTATTTTATAATTTTTAATAAAAATCCCAAATAAATAATCAAAAAATTATTATATTAATAAAAAGGTAGGCAAAACATCCAAAAAATTGAATTGAATAAAAATTGTTGAACCAAACCGCGAATATCAATGTTTGTGTTCACAGATTCCTCTGAAGAGCTTAAATAAATAAGCAGATTCCTTCCCCTTTTTTCATATAATTTATAGTAATTAATGAGGAAGACTTTAGTTATTTAGAGTAAGTGGTAAATTTAAGTGGGACCTTCCCGATCGGTTTAGGGTTCAGTGCAGCCCGGATTGTCACTAGTTTTCGGACACCGGTCTGTTGTATTTGTTGATGCTGCGGGGAGGTGAGTAAGCTGGAATCATCGTCGTAAAAAAAAAATATAAAAAAATAAAATAATTATTAATGCGTTCATTAAATAAAAAAAAATACCGTAAAAAGTTAACCTGAAAAAAAAGTTTTAAATAAAGTTTCTAATATTAAGCTATTTTTTAAATAAAAAGCGAATTTGAAGTGTTTAGAGGAGAAGAGTTTAAGTGATGTTGAAGTAAATTTAATTTTCAGAAAAATATAATCAAAAGTTGTTAGAAATTAAAAAAATAAATACGGCATATATGCATGTATGTAAGAAAAATAATATTTGTTTCTTTATATATACTAAATAATTTAGATATTTTAAAATGGACTATTTTTTAAAGGCATATACAATAACTATGAAAAAGAAAATAAAATAAAATAATAAAACTTATTAAGAAATGCGGCGGAATTTCTTTTCCTTAAATAATAATAGAAAATTTCGCGTTAAATAAATAAATAAATAAATATTTAATAAAAAATAATTAAAAAAAAATAATTTTTGTAAGCGTAAATATTTCTATAACATATATATGAATGTATACATATGTATTTGGTTAAAAAAAAAAAATTAATGAAAATAAAAAGGGTTTTAATAAAATGATGAGTTTCCTATGAAAAATTTGCACTTTTTTGTTTTTCGCATTAAAAATTTCAAGTGACTTTTTCTTAATTTAAATATATTTGGGACCTATAATTTGTTTATTTCCTTTCAAGCACTGAGTTAAAAAAAAAATGATAACGAAAATATTTATTAAAAAGTAAAATAGTTGAAAGTAAACATAATTTACGTTCTAAAAAATTTTATAAAATTAAAAGGAATTTTTTTATGAAGCATGAATTTTCATAAATAATTTTAGAAAGTTTACTATAAAAACATTTGAACTTTTCATATGAAATTTGATTTGAAACCTTTAATTAATTTTTTTTCACCCAAAGCATCTGGTGCAAAACAAACTAAATAAAAAATTTAAAATTTTTTTTCTTTTAAACCAACTAAAGAAAATCTATAAATTCTTTCATAAATAGTGACAGAAAACTGCGTTGAAAAAAATTTATTTTTTTATTTATGCAACTTGTTTTATTGGAAGTCTATTCCGGAACCCATCATTTATTTAATTTTTAAAAAAAGCAAAGCAAAATCAATTTATTAATAAAAAAAATTAGAGCTATAAACCATTGTACAAATAGACAAAAGCAAATAATTTACGTGGGTTTTTGTTGCCACTACTGTTTGTTTGTTTCTTTAACAAAAAAAGAACAAGGTAGGGATTTTACTGCGTAAAATATTTTTGTGTAAATTACTACATTATTTTAATTGTTGATTTTAATAAATTAGCGTTTTTAATTGGCTCATACAAAATACAATTATATAAATAAAAACTTTTAATTGAATTTTCGAAGCAGAAAAATTGAGCTTAAAACCACTAATTTATACAAAAAAGTGAAATAAAAAAAAGAAAAAAAAAAGAAAAAAAAAGGAAAATAAGAAAAAAAAGTAAAAAAAAAAAAAAAAAACTCACAAAAAAAGACACAAAAAAAATACAAAAAACCAACAAACACTAAAAACATTTAAAAGTAGTTTAAGACCCTCTTTAGAGAACTTTAAACTGAGCCAATATTTTTACTGGCTGGAGATATTTATTTATTATATATTTTTCTTCCTTTTATTTTGCAATTTAATTGATTTTTAAATTTTTCACTTTTTAAATTTTCAATTGACATATTTCATTGTTGTTTTGCAATTTTTTGTATATTTTTACGCAAACAAAAAAAATGCTATCTATACGCTTACATTTATTTTACATATATATGATAACTTCTGCTTTTTCATTGACGTATTGCAGCTCTGGCGCGTTTATAGCTGATAATTAATATATATGTATGTATACTTACTATAAATACGCACTTGACAGACATACACATATATATATAATATATATATATATGCATTTTATTTAACAACGCTTAGATTTGCTTTCAATTTTATATGTAACGAGTTTGATGATATGTTTATATTACAACATATATGCACATGCAAGTACATATGTATATGTATATGCGCTCGATAAACAGCACACTAATATATGTATGTGTACAATCATTTCTTTTATTTTTTCGCATAACGCCATTTCACAATTGAATGTTTTTGATGATGAACAAAATGAGCTCTTTTTTCTTAGTTTTTGTTTTTAATTTTTTCTTCGCTTTTTTATTCTTATTTCGTTTCTTTTTTTTTGGAAGTTGCATCGTTTAATAAATTTATGCACTTTTTTCTTTTAAAATTAGCTTGACATTTTCGAAGTCTTTAAGTGAATGAAGTATTTTTTTATTTACCATTTTTTGTTCGAAAAAATTTTGATCTGCAGCGATAAGGCAAAATTAATTTGCCAATCCCTTTTGAACTTATGCTGCAAAGCGTATTCATTCTTCAAGCTATCAAATGACAACTTTTATTACTCAATTTGACATACATACGTGTACATATTTGCCTAACTAATCTACTAGACTAATGATTTTTCTTAATATTTCTTGTAGTGAACACCAATTTTTGTAATATTTTTTTTAGCGATCGGAAGCAGATAGTTATACAGCGAACTGTGTATCACTCACCACTGAATAGATTTTTAGAAATAAATTTTGTTAAAAATTGCCTTAGAAAGAATTTTTCAATATTTAAAAATCAAAAAGTTTTCACTGAAGTTTCATTTAAAAATTAATTTTGTGAAATTTTATAACAGAAATGTCGAAATGACAAAACAAGTGTATTTTTGCACCTTACGTAAACAACGATTGGGTGCCCACCATTTTATAATACTTTTTTTGTTTTGTACACTTCGAGTCTTAACATTATAAAAAACAAAGGTACGTAGGAAAATTGATTAACTAAAATAAATAAACACAAAAAATAATTTACCTTCATTTACGGTGCCCAAACATAAAATTCAAATGAAATAAAAACAAACAATATATATGGATTTTTTTTAATAATATTTTACCAAATATAATGGATTTATTTTATTCGTTTAAGCTTATTTATGTGTTGTGTTGACATAAAGAGTTAACCACACAAAATCATTTCCATTTAAATTAAATTTCAATTATTCATCAATTACATATATGTGTTTATTATTGTATATAACTGAATTAATTAGTAACTATTTGTCTACGAACGGCATAATGTGCATATGCGCTAATTTCAAATATATTTTCTGCATAAATATTTAATTTTTTTTTTAATTTTTTTTAAGAATGAGGATTTTTTCGTTTCAGTTAGAACAAAATATAGGTATTCAGGTAGTTATAATAAATTTAAATTGTTTACTTTTTTAAGAATTGTAAATTAAACGTTGTTTTTTTCATACGAAAAACAGCAAAGGTGTAAAGATAGAAAAGTATAGCATTCTAAAATTCTAAATTTTTATTAAAAATAAACATGCGTAGATATGTAAGCAAGTGAAGAGCTTAAACGATGCACAGCAGATGTAGCGCGAACAAAAAAAAAATTAAATAAATAAACAAAAAAAAACAGGCAGAAAAATTAAGTGACTTAACTAAAATAAGTAATCAGTGAAATAAAACGTAAAAAGAATCTCAGCTAAACGCAGCACAACGCGTTAGATAACGGCAGACAACTAATGGCAGCGACACCACCAACAATTTAAAGCCTTAACAGCCAGCCAAATATGTAAATTAAATTATGTAACTATACACTTTCATATATATATATATATATATATATATATATATATAATATATATATATATGTATGTATATATATTTTTAACTAATTTACTAAGACTTAATTAATAATTATTTAAGAGCAGCAGCAGCAACAAAAGAGGCGCAAAAAATTTTAGATCAAAAAACACTCTGCATATTTCAGCAAATTTTTTTGTTTTTTTACATTAAAAAAATATAAAAAAATATTAAAACGGGTAACATTTGTTTGTAAATAGTTTAACATCAATTTTTCATGACAAATTTTTTATTTTATTATTCATAAAAATTAAATTTGATATTTATTCACGAAATAAAGGTTTCACAAAAATAAACCAGCTCAAAAGCGCTAATACTTTTTTATTATAATTTTTTTTTTATATAATTTTAAAATGATAGTAGTAAATAAAGTAAATAAATTATTCAAGCAAAGTAATAATTTTTTCCCTTAACTTAAGCTAAGCGGATTTGAATGCGTACGAAAAAAAGTAAACAAAATTGTTTTTTTTTTTTTTCATTTTAAGCATTAAAAAAATAATAAATGAAGAATATGCCATTAGAAGCAGAAAAAAAATAATAATAATTATATTGTTTTAACTACTAAATTTCATACATTTCTTATACATAAATACATAATGATGTGTTTTCGCCTATAATTAGACCTACACATTTATGTACATACATACACCTACAGCACTACAACAGTAACATTTGTTTATATCTACCAACGTGCCAACCACCATTGAACTACGACGCATAATTCATTTACATACATATAAACTTATCAATTTCAATTTCATACTAAATATTTTTTTTTTTCATTATTTCACGCAACTAATATTTATTTATTTACTTTATTTTCTTTTATTTTAATTACTTTAAAATTATTCAATTAGCTGTAAAATTAGAACACACACATACACACTTAATTAAATTAAATTAAGCTGCGTAAAATGTGTACGCACGCACCGATTTCGATGCTGCCGCCACTCATGTAGCTTTATGGTATGGTAAGTAAGCGCGATGTGCTTGCAGGCGAAGCATTATTGGTTGTTGTTGCGTTGTTGCATATTTTTCTTTATTTTTATAGACTTTTTTCTAAGCATTGCTTATACCAAAAGCATATTTTAATTAAGAATAATAGAAGAAACGCGTTAAATTTGCAACAAAACTTCAACTTCATACAGTTGCCAGCCTAGCTGTGTGTGTGTGTGTGTGCCTTCGTGCCCACAAGCGGCTAGTTAGTAGTTGCGCCTACTAGCTCTAGCTCACACTCGCCACCACATCCTACACAGCATCAAAGCAATACTACATACAACATAGAAATCGGTTAAAGAAATTTCTGGCATTTCTTCGCGCCTGACTGGCCCTTAGCTAACAAATAATACCCTGATCTAAGCTTAAATTGTTGGTTGTGCCATTTTTCGCAGCAGCTGCCGCCGCCGCCGCCGCCACGGCGTGCATGTGATGATGGTGATGGTGATGCGGATGCGGATGCGTGTGATGTTGTACGCTGTTGATGTGATGATGTGTAGCATGTTGCTGTTGGTGATTGCCCATGAGCATTGCAGTGGTGGTCGTTGTTAGTGTAGTGCTGCTGCTGCTGCTGCCATTAACAATGGCTGTCGCGGTGACGGTGGCAGTGCCATTCGAATTACTATTACTCTTACTAACATTATTGTTGCTGGCATTCTTATTGTATTTATCCATTGTGTGTCGGCAACCGTTGGCTGTTGAGCTGACGGCCGTGCTTGCTTTGCTACCGCCACAACTGATGCACAGTACACAAGTGGATTTATAGCTAACTGGTGAGCCACCACCAACACCAACACCACCACCGCTAGCGGTGCGGCTATGCGCTACCGTTACTTGTGTTACAGTCGTTGGTTCGGAGGCACGTCGACCGTTGGCTAAAGCATTGTTCGCTCTACCATTCTCCGCATATTTACGCAACGCTTCACTTTTCTTAGCAATGCCATTGGTGAGCGGTGACTTCTTATTGCCGCCGCTGCCGCTGCCGCTGCTGCCATTCATATGCTGCATTGTTGCGCCTGCAACGCCGTTTGTGTGTACCGCTGTTTGTTGATTTGTTGTTTGTGCCTCTTTCAAATGTGCTGCCGCATGCTTTTCATAACCATTAGGACTCGCCGCATTGCCACCTTCTAGTTGGAATTTTTTCACTAACGCCTTTACCGAAGTGGGTGAAGCCTCTGTATTGGGAGTTTTACGTATCACCTTCGGTGTGGTCGGCGCATCGGGAAAGAGGCAGTGTGTGGCTGTTGTTGTTGTTATATACTTTTCGCTATGCGCGTTATTGTTACTATGATGGCTACTGCCGTGACTGCCATTGCTGCTGCCACCACCGTGTTGATTATAGCCGTTGGGGAGCGTAAATGTGGCGACCACATTTGGGGTGGCAGCCACAGTCGCTGCTGCTGCCGCCTCGCCCATTTCACTGCCTGTTATAACAATTGTCGTTGTTGTTGTAGCCGTAAGCGGTTTCTTGACAACGCTGCCGATATTAGCGGTTGTTGGCGGTATTTTTTTGGTGGTCAAAAAGGTGTTCTCCTTATTGGAATCCGAGGATGAATGGCGACGTGCAAGTACCTGCAATTGTTGTTGATGCTTCTGCTGCTGCTGTTGCTGCGTTTGTTGTTGGCGTTGTTGGCCAACGCAAATGCCGTTATATTGTAGAGGTATAGTTGTGGCACGCATAGCTGGCACCGTTACAATGGCGGTTGTTCTTTGTGTTGTTGTCGGTGAAACAATAGTGGGGCCCGCAGTGGGTGTGCCATTGGCATATTTTGCAGTGCTTAAGCCATTAGTGTGTGTGTTGGTGTGTGAGCCATTGTAGCGCGTCGTGGCATTGTTGGTGGTATTGTAGTGGTTAGCCGTGCGGCCATTGCAATTGCTATAACCATTGGTGGTGGCGCTGTTTTTTGTTGCTGCTGATGCTGCTGCTACTGCTGCTTTGCCATTTGTTACAATAAGTTTTTTGTTTGTTTGCGCCTTCTTCCCTGCCTCCTGCTGCTGCTCCTCCTCCTCCTCGTCTACTACTTCTTCCAAATCGGATGATTCCATTTTACTACCATTTGTACCATTTACTTGTTCAGCATTATCAATGCTTATATTGACATCTACATCATGCTCCACAATGTCGTCATCATCATCATCATCTTCATCATCGTGTGACATTTTGTTTTCTATTTCAGCTTCATTCGCTTCTAATTCCTCATCGCCGTCCTCTTCCACATCGTCTTCGTCTTCATCTTCATCATCATCCTCATCGTCTGCAGCTGCGGCTGAGTCGACTGTCGTTGATTTGGTGATATCTGAGAGGATTTGTCTATCGATGGAGCATTCGTCTTTTAACCAAATGTGCTCGAGACATCCTGCAGCGGTCATGCGATCACTGTGAAGGGAATGAAAATTAGTAAGGGTTTACTAGAAACTACATGTTTTGCAAACTTTTCGAGGTTATGTTGGTAATTAGAGTGACCAGAAAAAGTTAAAAGAAAGAATATAATAGTAAATCTCAACTCTAGAGAGACTAAATGCAAAATCAAGCATAATTGAGAGCCAAAACCGACAAGATATATAATTTTGTAACTATTCATGGAAAATTAATTCAAAATATTTCAATTTCATAATTTTTCCAAAATTATTATTTTCGTGCTATGTTTTGGAAGCTAAAATATTGCAGAAAAAATCGATTTTTCGAAACAAAAGTGTGTAAAATGTGTTCTCAAGAAAGATTTTGAATTATTTTTAGCATTTTTTGAAACTAGTCATATGCTGACTATTGACATAAACAATTAAACAACAAGGCAATTTTTTTTTTGATATAAAGAAAATTTTTAACCCACAAATTTGATAATTTAATCACTTTTTCAATCGTTGATTTTCTCCAAGCATTGGTTTACTTTCACTTTGAAATATATTCAATTATGGCTTACAAAAATTAACATTTTTCATTAAAATATTCCCTCAATACATTCAGCTAACCAAAAAGAAAAAAAATAAATAAATAATAATTCCTTTTCACTGCCCGATGCTAGGCCTCATCTAACCACCAATATTAACTCAGTCTGCTCATTTCCCACAACTTACTTTGGCTTTATTCGCAATGCGCGACGTATAAAATCAATGGCCACAGCGGACACTCCACCAAACAATTTATCCGGAAATGTCAGTGCACATTGTGAGATATTGAGGAACGTTTCCTGTTTTGTTTCGCCGCCGAAAGGTGAAAATCCAGACAATAGTACATAAGCCAAAACGCCCACCGACCAAATGTCTGTCAGCAAGGAAAGTGGTTCGTATTGTAAAACTTCGGGCGCAACATAATCCGGTGTGCCGACAATCTCACGCACATTTGTGCCTTCGGCAACGACGCGTGAGATGCCAAAATCGCATAGTTTCAAACCATCTGCAAAGTGAGAAGTGGCAGAATAGTTCATTAATGCAACATATACATATAAATATATATATATACACTAAAATCCCAATTTACAATTAGTTTGATACTCACCTTCAATACGCTCACCAGTGAGCAATATATTTTGTGGCTTCAGGTCCAAATGTGCAATTGAACGTTTGTGCAGATATTGTAATGCTTTAAGTACCTCACGCATGCAATAGCGTGCATGTGCCTCACTGAGGCATTCCTCATTGTCCAAGAATGTTTGTAGCTCACCACCGGTCGCTCTGGAAGTAAAGAAATTTAAATTTATTTATTATTAATATGCAATCCATTAGTATAATAAATGATAGCAACACTCACAGTTCCAGCAGCAATGCGGTATCGGAGCGTGACTCGTGCACTGCATTCAATTTGACAATATTTTCAGCCCCGTCGCATAGCTTTAGTACAGCGATCTCATGTTTGATTTCCTTATCTGAGGATTGAGCGCGTCGGCGTCGTTTAAGAAATTTAGCAGCGAAATGTACACCGGAATTCTTGTGTATTGCACGGCGCACAGCAGCGAATTTGCCTCTGTGGAGAGAAGAGGAAAAGTTTGAAGAATTAATAATTAAACATTAAAACATTTTTGAAAATTAATATTTATTTATGATCTGCTGATTTTCAAAAAAAAAATATTTTAATATAATGAAAATAAAATTAATAAATAAAAAAAATTGATAAATAAAATAAAATTAAATAATAAAATAAATAATTAATAATATAATAAATAATTAATAATATAATAAATAATGAATCATAAAAGTAAACAGAAAACAATTATTTATAATTTATTATTATTATTTATTCATAATCTGCTGAATTAAAAAAGATATATGTTTTAATAAAGTGAAAATAAAATTATACAATAAAATAAATATGAATCATAATATAAAAAGTTAATTAGTAAAAAAAAAACAAAAAAACAAACAAAAAAAATATAAAAAAAATAAAAGCAATAAAAAATTAAATTATATAAAAACATTAAATAAAATAAAATAAAAATTACGCGAAATACAATAAAATACATTTAATTAAATTAAAAGAAAGAAAACATAAAATTATAAAAATAATAAGTAAGAAGAAGAGAAAAACAAAGTTAAATAAATAACTTAATAACACGAAAAAAAAAATTAAATAACATAATAAGCCCAAACTAAAAAAAGTAAAAACTTAAATTCAATCAAATTCCTTAAAAGGAACTAATATAGCATAAACAAAAAAATATATATAAATAATAAAGTAGAGGATGAAATAAAACAAAATAAATAAGATGAACCAAATTTTTTTATTTTCGACTCAAATAATTTATCATAATAACTTAATCGGTTAAATTTAAAAAAAAAACTTAAGAAAAATAAAATAAAATAAATAAAAAATTAAATGAAACATAATTAAAAAAATAAATCATTTAAAAATAAATTTAAAAAAATTAATAAAATAAATAAAAATAAATTAAATCCTCTGAAACAAATAAAAATAAATTTATATAAGACTAAATAAAAGCACGACATTAAATTACACAAAAAAGTGAAAACCTAAAATAAGTAAAAAAATTTATTTAAAAAAAAAAGAAAATTAAATTGAATTACATTTAAATAATACTGATTTAAATAAAATGAAATGGAATAAAATAAAAAAATTATATAAAATTATACTCGATTTGTTAAAATCGAATAAAATAAGAAGTAAAAAAATAAATACAAATAAAGATATAAATAAGAAATTTAGAAAAGAATAATTAAAATAAAAATTAAATAACATAAAATATAAAAAAAGATTAATAATTTAAAAATATATATTTTCTTAATATTAATATATATATTCAAAATAAAATATAAACAACATCAAACAAAATAAAATTTTATAAAATTAAATAAAAAATATGAGAGAAGCAAAAACAAATAAATTAAATAACACTAAGTAAACTAAATTAAAATCATTAAAAGTAAATACTATTGATTTAAATAAAATAAAGGAAAATAAAGAAAAATCAATTAACTTTTTCCTTTATTTTATTTAAATCAGTAGATTTTATTTAGTTTTATTATTATACTAAATTTGTTAAATAAAATAATATTAGAGAAAGATAAAAAAGCAATAAATTAAATTCAATTTTATAAAATCAAATTAAATATTAAAAAATAAAATAAAGCAATATATATCAAAATAAAAGAAAATATAATAAAATGAAACAAAAATGAAATATTAGCTAAAATAAAGTAAAAACAAGTTTTATTTTTTTAATTAATTCCCTTAAAATAAAGCAAAAGAGACACAGCGAAATGAAGTAAAGTCAAATAGAAAAAAAAATAAAACAATATATTAATAAAATTAATAATTTTTCATTTCATTGCCAAAAATATTTATTGCGAATGATCACTTCCCCTCACTATTTTATCATAGCGCTCAAATGTAGGCAACGTTTTTTCAAATAACACCAAAATGGATCAATTTCTGGCATTGATTGGGTTCTATCAGTAGACAGAAGATATTGCCAGCGTTCTCTTGCTTTTTTTCCCTCAAATTGTGAAGTCTTATATGGACAATAATAGATGAGCAGATGCTACAAATTAAACTGATTAGCTTTACAAAATCTGTTGGAAACAGACAAACTAACAGTGAAACATCAAAAAAAAAAAAACCAACAGTGGTTCAATTTTCCATGTTGGCGCTTACAAGTGGACTTAATGCAGCTATTGTGACAGAGTTTACGCACTTCCAGGACCGCCTATTTAACAACATACAAATATTTAAGTATGTATAGATTTATGCGACATAATCTTTCAAGTTTATAGTAAAGGTGTGAATGAGTTCGTTCAATATTTTTCACGTTTTCATGTCGCGTACTCGCATTGCATTAAATAGTAGTTTGATAGTTGTAATAATAATAATAAAAGAAAACAAGAACAACAATGGTAATGCAGCAGGCGCATAACATTTCAAGAATGACGCATAAATTATGTGCGCGACAACGCAATTATCAGCGTGACGTTGATGAAGCAAGAAACAAAAACAAAACAGAACAAAACAAAAAAAATTATTTGGTGACGCCAACTCCATATGATTATTGTCAATATATATCCATATATCGAAACATATATTGTATACATATCTATATTGACATTTGCTATGTGCTCGCATTGGCAAGCAGCGACTAGTTCATGTCAATAATAAATGCCAGTGCAACGGACCTGCTTCCGGCATACACTAAACTACAAAAAAAAAAGAAAAAAATTCTAAGCAACAATACGAGCGTAAGCTTTGTGCGGAAAAGCGTAGCGATCATCCATACATACATACATTGCATGTGTTAGATTGTAGAGACAGTAATGTTGAGAATAAAGGCAATATATGAGTTTGAATTTTCAAAATTTTAACGATAGATTCGGGAGAGAAACTTAAAAGCTTTGTTTCGGAGCTTTTAGAATTTCACGACAGCCATTTAAGCTTCAATTTAGCTTAAGCATAAGTTGAGATTATGTGAGGAGTTAATTTTTTGACTAATTGACTATGGACTATTGATATGATTAATTATTTGATTTAATTTAAAAGGCTTCATATATATTACACTTATAAATAAAACGATTAGTCAGTTAAGTAGATTAATTAAAATATAAGGAAATTAGTCATTGTTTATTAAAAGAAAAGTATTATTATAGACTATTTACTGATAAATTAATAAATAGGATTTTAATCAATTCAACTTCGTGATCAAACGAATTAAGTAGCGTAAATCAATAAAACATCTGATCCCGAGAAAATTTATTTAAAACATTTAAATGCATTATTCAATGATTAAATAGATTATTAAGGCCTGCGATTAACGAAATTAATTAATTATATTAATCACAAACCAATTGATTTTTGACTTCGTTTTTTCTGAATTAAACGTATCAATTTATTGTTAAGAAATTGATTGATTTATGTGTTGATATTTTTGCGTTTTATTGTATAAATTTAATTTACCGATAATAAAATTCATTCAAGTGCATTTTAACCAAAATGATATTCGGTACTCGGTTCGAAAGATATTTGACTTTTCATTCAAACGACAAATGGCATCTCAAAGAACGATAGTTAAGTATCAACCTGGAAATTCTAAACATTTTCAAGGGCTTGAAAAATTTATTTTCCATACTTGATGCGCTAGTGCTAATGGCAGATATTGCAATCAAATCCGAGCTGACAAGCAGTTTTTTTTTTTTTTTTGATATTTTATATAATTTTACTCCGAGTCGTTTAAGTAAATAAAATTTGAGCTCAAACCACACCTCACTCAAACTATGTGGATTTGGTTATTCTCTGCTTTAGTCAATCAAGATTATTTTAGAGAAGACCGGCATATAAGTAGGCAGTCTGAATAGCAAGACAGTCGTGATGTTTTCTTTAGAGCGATTTTTAACTGAATTGCATTATTTTCCAAGCCGAGTAATATTTAAAAAAATATAGAGGCATTTTTTATGGAACTATGATATACTGCTAATATTTTTCACAGTAGTTTGGTAGAAAAGATAGTAGCAACAATTGATAAAATAGGACCTATCATCTCCATAACACGATTCAAATCAAGTTCACAGCATCAAAATACAAAAAAAAAATTTACGAGGGCAAGCACAAAATCTCAGCTATAATCTATTACATTATTTAGTATATAAACCAAACTGAATACGAAAATAAATTAAAATAAAATTAAACAAAAATAAAAATAAAAATAAACAAAGTGGAATAAAAAAGTAAATGAAACAACCAAAGAATGAAATAAAATATAGTAAGAAAAAATTTAATTAATTTTAAATAAATAAAATAAGTTAAATTTAAATAATATAAAATATAATAACAAAAAAATATAATAACGAATATATAAAATAAAATATAATAACCAAAAAAATCAAATAAAATATAATAACGAAAAAAATATATAAAAAAATATAATAACGAAAATATAAAATAAAATATAATAAATAACATCACTTGATAACTTAAAAAAATATAATAACGAAAATATGAAATAAAGTATAATAATAAAAAATAAATAAATGATATAAAACAATTTAAATAAAAAATTGAAATGATTCAAAATAAACTAAAACAAGCAAAAGTTAAAAAAAATTAATAATATAAAATTAAGAAGCTAATTAAATCCAATTAAGAAAAGAAACTGTATTAAGTTTTGTATTTATATTTATACCTTAAAATGTTAAATTAAATTCAAATAAAATAAAAAAAATAAAAAAATTTATATAAAAAATTAGGTAAAAATTTAATTAAATATAGAAGGTGATATAAGAAAATTAAATGGAAAAACGTAAAAAAATAACACATAATGGAATAATAAATAAGTAATAAAATAAAACAAAACACTAAAAAATTAAACATAATATAATACTACAAATGTAAAAAAAAATTAATTGCAATAAATTAAATAAATTAAATAAATAAAACGAAATAAAATTTAATGAAAACATATGAAACAAATTAAAGCAAAATGAAATGAGACAAAATTAAACAAAAATATTAAACAATTTATAATA